GATTCTATTTATGCAATCCATGCGTCCCGCGCGCTGTACTCGGGTCCTTTTTGGTTTTTTTCTCGATTTTCTCATTTTCTCCGTCCGCGCTGCATCACTCCGCGACATTTCTGCTCGCTGCGGAGGAATGCACACTTCTCGCGGCGGCATTCCTTATATTGGCATTAACGGAGAAAACGTCGAGGTCGTCTGGTTCGAGTACCACTCCCACGGACACGGGGGAACAGGTACGGAAGAGACCATCGAGAGAGTGGCCAGAACGGATATCGCGGTAAGATGAAGAAGAAGAAAAAGAAGACAGTTGGGACCTCGTTGAGCAATGCTCAACTTTGGCCGCGTTCGACGAGGATTTACGTATATCCTGAGTTTTTCAATTTCTTTGAATTTCTATCAAAATATCGTTTTTTTTTCATTGATTATATCGAAGTAAATATGTATAATCTTCTGTGATCTCCTTTTCTTCGTATTTTCTCAAGATGTTTTTTTTCCCGACGCGTTGGTTTAAGTTAGCTGGTCAACTCGTTCAACCTCCCTTCCGTGCGACTCGTAACTCAACCTAAATAGTGCAAGCAGGGGCGCTATCCAATTGCATTCAAAACTACATTTGTCCTTCCAAGAAAAACGAAGAAACGAAACTTTCCAAAAGTGGAACGCTGGCCAAGAACGCGTACGCGATTTATCTTGAATTTCACAGTCGACGAGACGTATCGTCGTTGCTTTTATATTCATTCCGGTGACACTAACGGCGACACTCCGCGCGGCCGCGGCCTATAACCCAACCCCCCGCGCCGGTAACATTGGCGATTCCGGGCGCACAGTTCAAGTCGTTTCTAGGTCAGGGGAAAAATTAATTGGCCGTAACTAGAAGACAGATACTGGTCGTAATGTGACGGTAACCTATCCTATCCTTTCGCGAGCTTAATAATAATAATAGTCATTAAGTACGGCGGCGATTAGTTGCAGAACTAACTTATCCGAGAAGATCGCGTCAAGAATATCGACACGGCGTACGACATCAAGTTGGAAAGATGGTGAAATTGTTCAAAAGAAAATACACAATATAATACACATAATCACGATAATATTATGTACTTTATGTATTAATGGTTAAAATTCGTATTATTTTGTAATTATAGAGACGTGAAGTGAAACGGTCTTAAACGCAAGATCTTCACGGGCTAACTCGAGGATTAAATGACTCTCGCGTGCTCTTTTGCTTACTAATGTAACATTGGCGATGATCCAGCGGTGCTTGAAACTTTAATACACCGTTTCGCCCCTTCTAATTACGTCAGTCATCGTCTGGTAGGATGTAATTCAATTCTGACACGTGTGGCACGTTTCTCTTGTAATCGATTCGCCAAGATCGCTGCAGCGCTGCCGCTATGTGCCGGTTAAATTGAGTTTAAACATTTTTTCGCGGCTAAACAACATCTAACACACACGTGTACATTATATAAACTTGATTAAATTATCTCTTAATTTCTATGCGTTTGTTAAAGCAAATTATTATTACTTCGTTTAATGCATCGGAGATTTAGTTACAACTTTGCTGGTTTCTTTCATAATAAAACTTTCTTCTTCGATACTGATGAATATAAAATGATAAAGTCAATTACTTCCGAAAGTCAAGTTTTTTTGACATTATTTATAACTTTAACACAACATTTTTTATTAACTGTTGAGAAGCGTGTATTGCAATAAGCGAATGAAATTTTTTATCTATCTTAAAGTAGAAGGTAGAATTTAGATTGTACAAAATAAATTGATAAAAGCTCGTAATATTCATTTCTGAAAATCGTGTTATTTAACGGATAAAAATTTCTTTTTATTCACACAAATAAAAGAAACAATTCCTTACCCCCACGTGCGGGCAATTTCTTAAAGTTTGACCTACGAGACGGAAAAGTTGTTAGTGGAAAGCATCGATGTATTCCTCGCCCTAAACTGTCCCAGTGTTTCTCTCCGCGGTCGATGGAAAATGGACGATTCCTCAGTCCTCGTCGTCGATAGGCACGTTCCGGGAGGGATGGCGGCGGGAAGGTGTATGCTCACACAGTCCGTTCAAGTGGGGCAAAAGGGAACCACTTAGCCGAAACTGCAGGAGTCTGAGAGTCAGCAGCTATTCGGCAGACGTCACTGGCGCCAGCGGACTACCTTAAAGCCCGACCACCCCCTAGCCGCCTCCCCTTCTCCTAGCTCTTCACCCCTGCCGCCGACAATCTCATTCCCGAAAAGCGTCGCAAGAATTATAAAGTTGGCGGAGGAGAAAAGAGAAAAGACTTCTTTCCTTTGCCACCCAACCTTGTCAGTCGCGCGGGCGCGACCCGCCCTCTCTCGTCCCGCAACCTACATGTTCCCCACTTCGATCTATCGCTGCATTCCTCTCGCTACATTCCCTCCTCGTTCTTCCTCTTCTTCTCCATTTTCCTATTTCCGGTTCTCTTTCATTCTCTTTCTCTCCTCACGATTCTTTTTGTCTCAACTTGAAAGTTTTCGCGAAGGAACCGATCGGAGGGTGAGCTTCAACCGCGAGTTACGAGCTCGGCACAGATTCGAAAATCTGTTCTCCATTAGCGCGACGCCGGCCGGAAGTCGTTCAATTAGAGTCATGTACCGTGTGATCTCGAAATAATCTGGCGCTCGAGAGATTCCATTGTTATTTCGGACGACAAAAGTTTCACCGAGCACGCTCTCGTTTAATGAGGAACGCTTCTCGTAGTTTCGTAGTTTCCGCTCGCGACCCGAGACTGCTCCCGCGAGTAGTTTTACAAAGCGATGACGAGGGATAAGACTGAACTTGGACAAGGGGCGGAAGAGAGAGGTCCCTTTATCGCCGCGCTCGATAAAACGGCGCGATCCTCGGATTATCACGTTATCCACTTCCTTCTCGTTATTCGCCGCTCGAGAAAGAAATGACGCTTCGACATTTCGCGCTAGACACAGGAAATATATACAAAGAGCATAGAGAAAAAAATACATGTACTATATTCTATTTACATACTTACATAGAAAATTCTACATACACGTATAAAAAATAAACGTATTTTAGGACGATATGTCAGTGCGAAACTTGTGTTTTTGCAAGCGCATTAAATTGACTTTTGCTAGCGTTTTAGGTAGAATTTTCTGATCCGCAAAAATGATTGAAAATATTTTCTCGAGCGACAGGGAAAATTTTTCCCGAAGAATTACCGCGAAATTTTCCCTGTCATCGTCACAGCAGAAGCAGCAGCATCACCGCTCCGCGCGTTGAAACGTTCATGCCTCCGAGCGCGTTTCTTACGCGTCGCGCTGCGCTGCGCTACGCTCGTATCTCGCGTCCGGTATCGGTTTTATCCAGACGCTCGAATTTATGCCCTTTCCGGCAGTGAATGGATATACAGTGCGGATGAGAAACAAGAGGAAAAGAGAAAAAGAGAGAGAGGGAAAAAGAGAAGGAGAGCGTGTGTGGAAAGAACAGAGATGAAACAAAAAGACATCGATCCCCGGAACTAACGGAGATCGGCGTGCATACTGGTTTCATACGCATAACAAACTACTGGGACGGTCGCCGCAGGCGTTAATATACCGGGGCGTAAGCCTGGGAGCGGTATTTTTTCGCCGCTCCGCGTGCTTGCCGCTCTGAAAAATATTTTTCTGAAAGCTAATATCTCTCTCGGGCCGATATTCCGCCGTGTAAATAATATCCGCGCCCGTAGGGACAACAAAGTAGGCTGTCATGTGACTGCAATCGCCAAAAGAGGCTCTCCGGGGGAAAAAAATGAACCGCCCGCGCGGCCAAACGCTCGTATCATTTTTTCTCGCTGTCTGCTTGCTCGCTACCGCTTTTGCGCTGCCGCTTTTGCGCTTTGCCGCTGCCGTTCGACGATGACGTCGGGAAAAATCTGCCAAGAAAAACGGTCGGACTGGCAAAACTGATTTCGATCGGGATCAGCATCACATAATGTTGAACGAACACGCGGTCAATCGCGCGCAAAACTCTGTGTGCACTAACTTGATTTGTTTTACTTACACATGTATTTTCTTATTTTTCTTCATTTTAATCTTTTACCTCATCAAACTTTTTTCAAGTGACGTTTTACTCTTTTACATTGCTTTATCGGTTTATCCTATTGCCAAGACGCTTTTTCTTACGGTGATTAGCTCGCAAAAAAATCGTTACTGTCGTTTTGTGAATGAGACTGCAGACACACGCTTCGCTTTTGACGTTTCCTTTTGCGACACACTAACAGACGACGGAAAAAGATCATTGCAGTAATCACGCGCGACGCAGATTCTGAGAGGAAGCCAACATCCAACCAGTTGTAACCGGCCGGAAAACACACTACTATCGGATGATTAAATATCGCCCGAACGTTTATCCATGCATTTGTGCGGCATTTTTATCTCCATTAATGCGACGATGACGACGACGACGTCGAGAGAAAGAGAGAGATGGGATGGGGTAGGTTAAAACTATAATTACACGTCGCACTTGTGCGTGTGCTAAAGATTAAAAGGCACCGGGTAGCGAAGTGGGAGTTATTTTAATCGCGTTGCGATGTACTAAACGGCAAAGCAATTTTCTCGGAGAAATCACGTTACATTTTTACACCGCTTTCCTCCCCCGCTGGGAAGAGGGGAAGTGTGAAAAAAGAGCCGACGCGTAAAGGGACGTGAAAACGTTTTAATTTTTATCGCAAGCTTTATGCGCGCACACAGTGCGCATCCCCCTCCAAACCGAAAGCAAAGTGGTCGCATTGTCTGTACGCGATCACCGGCGTAATTTCGTGTATAAATCGTCCAAGATCGCTGCCACGCGAAGCGACATAGAATACGCAAAAGGATCATCGCTTCGTAAACATATATGTAAACAGTCGAGTATTCTGTATTTCTGTTTTGTGATGTTTTAAACACATCTTGTCTCACAATACTTTTTTTCATTCTTCAAAGTATGAAAAACATTAAAAACACACTTGTTTAAATTTTTTTATCTATTTTTATTTTCCAAAACTTATAACTTTTTAAACAATTACATTTCTCATATTTATTATAACATAATTTTTTGTGTTTAAAGCACAGATTAAACTCTTAAATCTTTACTTATTTTTTCAATATTATTATCATCATCGATACTCTCTTGCCTTACTTTATAAACAAGAGCAAACTCTTAATTATTATTCTCGTTTGCTACAAAAAAATATTTCGATCGGATACATATGAATATACAAGACGCGCGAGCATGAGATATACTTGAATTTTATTTATTACACATATCGTGACACATGTCGCCGATTCTTTTCTCTTTCGGATCCGCGAGAAAACTCGGCGATGTCTCGCGCGATTGTTTTTTCCGCGAACGTGTAATTGTTCGTTACCTATACGCACCTTGCTTCTTCGTCAAACAAAAATGCGAAATGTTTTCGCATGATTCGCGAGCAGCAATATTGTGTTAAGGCTTTCCATAAAATTCGCGGCCCCGCGGCGATGTAATTGTTATCGCGCCTAAGTCAATACAGCGATTTTACACAAAACACCGAACAGAACACGAGTTGCCGCCGCTATATGAATGTGTCGGCACGTACGAAATGGCGGACGGCGTGAGAGCAGCGTGGGAGAAGAGAGAGGGGTGCCGGGGTCCTCGAACGGATCGGAGAACGGAGGCACAAAACGTCGAAGCGATTTATTAAATACCATACGGCTGAGCAATGTTATGACACGAGTATGCAAATATTATTTTGCGTGTGCACGAGGGAGCAATCAATGACCTGCTCTCTCCTCCCATCATCCTCTCTCGCGTCTATCGCGGAATATCTTCCTCCCTTCCTCCTTTCGTTTTGCGATCAAAAACGCAACGTGAGAGAAAATTCGCGAAGAATCTCGAGTGAATTTCCGGGTGATTAATTACTTAGTCTACTCGCGCGACATATCGAATTCGAATTGATAAATCGCACAAACTTAACATTATTATCACTATACGATCATTACGTGTGCGAGAAAGAAAACAAGGAAGATCTTTTGCGCAAAGTATAAATATAACTGTTATATAACGCACTTGGACAAACTTATGCACAGTAGCTCCTCTTAGTAGACCTTAGTATTTAGTCGCGTCAAAAGTTCATCTTCAGGTGATCTCTTCGTCTTCAGATGGCCTCTTTTCAATGAGGCTCTTAGAAAACTTCCTTGATTTCAAAATCTCTCGGGTTTAAGAGGTGCTATTGTATTACGATTATCGAAGTACTACTTCACTTAAATTTCTCGTCATTCGCGAATCACAAAATCTATGTAATTGTTTTTACAAATTGTGAGAACAAAGATTGCTCTGTATCCTGAGTAGTCCGAATGGCCGACAATTGCGCTTATCGATATATGTATATATGTATACATATATATATATATTTTTTATCTCGCATTAATCGCGATTACTCATCATTGAAAAATGAAGAACTCTCGATGGAACTCACCGATGAGCTGCCCTTCGGTCGTCCCGCAGAAGTTATCCCGCGATCCGTCGGACAACGGCGGCATTGGCAAGGACGACGGGGGTGTCGAGGGCAGGGGGGTTAACTGCTAGTGAACCCACGACGGGGCTGCAGCAGGGGTCGCCGCGTTCGTGCTCACATAAACGCCTGCGGGCGCGTTGCCGACCATGCTTGTGTTCTGGGCGACAACACCGTTCTGACCGACAACGGCGTTAGCGTCGCTCACCTGCACTGTACCCATCACTCCTTGTTGAAAGTTGAAGTCCAGCGTGCCGCCCATCGACAGTTCGTGCTTGATCACCTGCAATTCGCGCAGAGAGAATTGTTTACATTTACAAATAATTATGTACTTTCTCCGTCCTCCAACAAATTTTTTTAAATTTAAATTTGGTGAACTCCTCTCTTCTCACTACGTCCTCATATAAACTAAATATTATTTTCTTAAAATATTTCTTAAAAATATACGTTTCATTATTGAAGATGAATTTATATAGCACACTGTGTTTTCTCTCTAAAGATATTCATCATGAGCAATAACGGTAACATAAAAGTGGCAGCATCAGTAGTAAAAGATTAGCAGAATCAGACTTACTTACCTCTTCGACATTGCAGTCAAAAGCGCCGTGCATCGCGTCGATGTTGAGATCGTCGAGGAGGGCGGAATGATTAAGCGCACCCATCAACTGGCCCATCATGGTACTGGGCGTATTGGGGGTTGGCGTATTGGGCGGGCTGGAGCCAGCTGGTCCGGTCTGTGCCGGCTGATGTTGCGATTGCTGTTGCTGCTGTTGTTGTTGCCGTTGTTGCTGCTGTTGGCGCTGTTGCGTTTGCATCAAGTACTGTATCTGCTGTTGATTAGCACCCAGTGTCGTAGGGTTCGGCTCGCTCTGCTGGTACGACGGCGACATGCCCGACACGGGACTGAGGTTCTATAATTGCCATATGCGAAATAAAAAGTTGATAAAAACCGAAGTGTGATCGCGTGTGTTTATTGATATACATAATTCGTAATATACAAATAATATGTTATTGATATAATGATGATTTATTAAACGGGAATATGTGAAATATATTTTTTTTATATATAAAATATATTTGCGCGCATCAAGCATACGCACACATCGTGAAATATATAGTACCACTTTCGCCCATATAAATATTGGTTTTCACGTATGGTGGTTTTGTATACGTCATAATTTATTAGAAATGTAAACACTCTCAAAAAATGGAAAATTTCGTTGTTCGGAAAAGCGAATTTACTTGAAAACAGATGTAAAACATTTAATTAATATATAAATATAATAATTAATGTAAACAAATCTTGAAAATTTTATCTTAATAAAAATTTAATCTCTCGAAAATTGATCAATTACACCAAGCAGATTGTGTGTCCCGCGATTGGTTCGCGTGTACATATATCTGTTTGCATTTGTAAAATTGTCGAAAATATACATTTCGATACAATTCCATAAACTGTATGATGCTTTTTTAAGCCAGTTTCAATAATGAAATGTAAATAAGCTTCTCTCACATCGCTGCAAATCTTTTCACAGAAGACAACAAAAACACCGTTGTGAAAATACACCGTCATCGTGCAAAATAGCGAGTTAAATTTTCACAGATTTCCCGATTTCTTCAATGAAAGCGTATCTCTCTGTCGAACTGTTTACTAATTTTATTTAAAAAAAATTTGAAATTTATTAATATATAAATTTTTTTTTTATATTATATACATGCGTGTGCAATATTTTACAGATACATATTATAAATGTTTATTACGGGGGAGAATGTATCATACATTAATAACATATTTATTAATTGCTTCCGTCGAGCGCGTCATATCAGTTAACGTCATCCTTTGTCTGGGAGCGATATAGAATCCTGCCGCTAGATAGACATCCCGTGGCATCGTGTGTGTAAAACATACATCGCGATCCTTATTGATTTTGCAACATTGCCAGGCCGAACATGCGCAACATAAAAACGCTGACGTTACCTCCTTTGTGAAGGAAATAGTGGCGTGGTCGCGCGAAAATTTCGGCCAAAAATGCTGCGGACTCACCATTTGACAGGCGCACGGCTGCAGACCGTGAATCGGGCATCTCTGCTGATTAGCCGATTGCGGAGTGGGTGGCAGGCCGTAGGAGGCGGACGACGGGGTGCGTAGGCCGTTGTTCCTCTGGTATTGCGCCTCGTAATAAGGCGGTGGCGGCGGCGGCGGACCGGTTTGCTGCTGGTGACTGGTCGGTGGTGACGTCTGGTACATTTGGTAGGGCTCCAGTTTCATCGTCTCCGCCAGATTACCCGCTAGGATCGTGTCTGCTGTCGAACAGAACCGCACCACACACAATGCGTTTAATCGCGTTGTCAGACAATTGTTTGGAATACAAGAATCAAACATAGAGAGGAGAGGAAGATTGCAGTAACTATATACCTAATTGTTGTTCCGGGCTGTATGAGGGCGCGTAGGTCGGTGTCCAATCTGGTTCTCCGAGAACCGCCGGGATAGGACTCAATCGGCCGCAAGAGGATGCGTTACTCGAGGCGCGAGGACTTGGGTGAAAAATGCAAAAAAAAAGCAAAATTCAATAATTGCGTACTGACAATTTCTCTGCTGTCGTATTTTTTCGCTAGATTTTACAAACTATCCTAGAATTTCAGAAATATCGATCGGACACAAAAAATCTAATTGGACCCGAAGTTCGAAAGAAATATACGAGAGATATACATATATATATATATACATATACATGTGTGTCTTCGACTGTAAATTTTACATTAAACTTTTTAATTAAACGAAAATATTAAATGAAAATAGAAAGAGAATATATATTCGAGAAAATACGTAGAAACGCGCGGAAATATTATACGGTGTGTGCGATATAGCGTACCGGAAATCGGACGACAGCTGGAATCCGCTGGGAGGTAGGGGGCTGTCGGGAAACAGATCCAGGCCCTCGCCGACGCTGCTGCTGGGACTAGACGTTGGTTCGGCCAGTAGTCCGCCGTTCCTCAGAGCTTCAGCAATTTTCTTGGAACGGCCACGCCGCTTTTCCAAGCTCCCGTTACTCTCCATAGTTGTGGCTCTGCGTAACAAGCACGTAACACACACACACACAATAGCACCCTTGACAGAGTTCGCGATCAAGAGAGATAGAAGCGGATTGCCAACAATCCGGGAAACTTACCTGCGACGAGCGGATTTGCCTGGTTTGGCGTCGCGATTGATCATCCACCAAGAACTCTTGCCGGTGCCCTCGTTTTGTACCCGCATAAACCTACTGTGCAGCGACAAGTTGTGACGTATAGAATTCTGTGCAAACAGAAACGAAAAAAATCTCATAACTTCTATAACATATGATATCGAAGAGAAATGAGAGATAACATTTCTTTCATTAGGTCGCCAGAATCAAATACAAATTAAATAATTAAATCTCGTTACTGTCGTAATTAATTTTGTTGCTTGAGATTAAAAACGCAAAGAGAGATAGAAACAAGTGTGATCACATCGGCTTTCGAATTTTTACGCGAATTAATACAGACCTAAATGTCATTTTGTGTATAAATTAAATGAAGGAGATTCATTTTTTGCTCGATATTACCGTGAATTGTTAAAGCCTTTCAACGCGAACAGAAATATAATCCATAAAAATCTATCTTTTCGCCGAAGTGTTCGTTACGTAACTTGGAAGCGAAATGACATACACTGTACCGTATCGTGCGACATCTGTGTATAAAAATCCTGCGAAATCGTATAGGAAAAAATCAATTCGAAGAGTGAATCATAGAAGCCCTCCTTTATAGTTCTCCGCTTTCCCGTCTCGTTTTTCCCCTGCCTTCTTCATTAGGCAAATTGAATCAGCTGCGGGTGTATAGCAATAGTCGCGGGTAGTCTTCCGAAAAATTTCGAAAAGCTTCTATCCTAATACGAAAGTACCCGTGTCGCAAAGCGACAACAATTTCCTTTCGTCTTCGTCTCCCGATCCGGCGAGACGGCTGCGCGCGCGCGCGCGTGTCCCGAAAAATGCTTTCAGACGAAAAACACACATACGTGAAAGACGCGGCGCGATAAATAAAAATGGTTCTCCTTTAAAACGTCCGTTATATCGCGAACGAGACAGGCGGAAGTTGATGCCAAGCACCGCAAACAAGTTTCGCGAACTTGCAACACCAAGGCACGTTTTATCGTTTCGTTAAGAAACCTTCCGTCGCGGATTGTTACAACCTTTCGATAAATAATCTATGAAAGTCTAGTTTCGCCGAGAACATGAGGTGTATTCGTATCGTTAGAATCATCGAGCACGAGGAACGTAACGTAAAGACATTTCTTCGCGCAAAATGATAATTATATTTCTAATTCGAAAAAAAGGTTATGTATCTAAATGACCATATATTTGCCTATATACATAAATAATTTTTATAACTCCGTACGGCATTCTGATAAACCATAAAATTGCGAGATATTTATCATCCAGCTGCTACGTTCAATTTACTTGGACGTCTGACATGTGCATCGTGCACTTTAATATCCGAAAATTTATAACGCGGAAATGTACGCGATGTATTCTTTACTGCCAGAAAGAAATAGCTCGCCTTCATGACGCGCATCGCATCACTCTCTTCCACTCGCATGTCCCTTTCAATATCAATCCGCGAAAAAGAGATATTCCGCACATCTACTCAGTAGTATTCAGCAGTACAAGTTTTTCGCTTATATTAATGCGATCGCGTAACAAGCCGGATAACGAAATCCTCTTTTTTTTTTTTTTGTTTTTTATCTCTCCGCAACCAAGTTAGTCGTAAAACGAGAGTTTCGCGATATAAATCCAAACTCGTCGTTAATTTTTATCGGTTTCTTTTTCCTCAGTGTGTCTTAACGTTTTTTTTTTTTTGTCCCCCGTCTTTGCTTAACTGACGCGACGCACTCTCTTTTCAAGCTTGATAGATCGTTTTGTCGGACTTTTGAATATCCAGAAAGTCTCGCGAGTATTATCGAGAAATCCGAAAAGCTGTCCGAGATATCGCGGCCGGGCCCGGGGTGCTTTTACGATCGTCAGCGTCGGGCTCCTTTCGCATTTAACTCCTGCGTGACAGACTTCCCCTTCGAGAAAGGGCGATCAGCCATTCCAGTCGTGTAGTCGCGGGCTATACGGTGGGACTTTATAACCCATCATCTATCCCGCCTTTATCGGTGCTACGCTCTGAAGATGAAGACATTTTCGGCGCCACCGTTCTGATTTTTCCATTCAGTCGCCATTTTCGTTGCATTTTGCCTAGGATTCTTACGCTAAAGAGGAGGATTCGAATGTATGTATATTCAAAGGATTTTAATGCCGCGTGAAATTGTACGAAACTCAACTCGGAGAAATTTTCGTGATTCTGTTTCCCGATTCTGTTTTGCCAAGCTAATTTGTATAAGGCAGAGAATTAAAGAGGTGCAAATTAAATAAGACATAGCACATGTAGTATAATTGTTCGTAGTGCAGCTGAAGCTAGAAAAAAGTTAATAAAAATATCTACAGGAACAAACATATAATTAAATTTCTTATTGGTATCTTTGACATAGTTCAAGAGATTGCTGCGGCGATATTTACAAAAGGCGCGCAGAGAACGAGTCTCGTGTTCCTTCCTCTTCGATTTTTCGACAGCGATCGCCGATAAAAGCTGGCGCTTTCGTTCAAAATCCCTATAAACCGCGCGGAAATAGCTCTCGTCGTCCAAGAGCGAAAGAATGCGATGAGGATGACCGGCGGATACTTGACGAGATCGAAGCGAATGAGAAGAGAAGAGAGACCCGGTTATCTCGCGTCCGAATGGACTGTATAACGTGCAATTTATGAAGGGTATATATAACTTCTGTTCTCTCTCCGGATTATATGCCGTTTGCGCTAGAGCATCGGTCGGAATATGCGCGATAAGAAACACCAAAATCAGCGCGAAGACGAGACGTTCGTCGTGAACGAAGGCGAATACGATTAGTCGCCGGAGTCTTTGGTTCAAGGTCGATGGAGCCTAAAATGTCTGACAAACAGCGACGGCAATTTGAACAAGAAGCGAACCATAAACGCGAACTTTATGCGTCTTTAAGAGAATTGTCCTTAAAATCTCTCTTATCTCTCTCATAAGATACACATTATTTGACCAAAAAAAGTAAAAAATTCCCCGGAACGTACATGTGAGCAATTATTTCGCGCTCGTAGTGGCAAAGAGACGATTGAAAAAAATAAACGAACAAACTGCAGACAGATAAGATAAGATAAATACGAAAAATATATTGACAGTTTGTATATATCGAAATTATCTCGTTGTTAACGCATCAAACGTGTTACACAATTTCGTGCGCGAAGGTTCCCGAAAGAGCATTGAATTGGATTTTTGCTCAATATTCTCGTCGCATTTTGTTCTGTGTGCATAATAATCGCGCGCAAATGCTCGCGTGGAGAATGAGGACGGCAATTCTTATACCGACCATCAATTACATCTCGGCGCTGCGACAGATTGCAAATGGTCTTTCCGATACGCGGGGAACGCGGAAAACCGGCGAGCGATTGCTCGTCACAGAGAATTTGCGATGATGATTGGCGGCGCGGTGGCCCAAGGAAAGGGACGGATTGAATAATAAATCATGATCGTTAGGTAACTACAAGCACGAAAGCTTTAATTCTTGATGCGCGTGCGGACAGAAAGGAATCAGATCCGACCTGAACGAGCGATTTGTCTCGACCTCAGGCTGTGCCTCACAAGAATGCGCTCGCTCAATGATACGACAATACGGCATACGCGATATGTGCGCGTTCGTTTCTCGTACCTCCGAAAACATAGAGCAAGAAACTAAAAAATAGCGTTCAATGAAATAATAGCAAGAGTGCAATAAAACTTTTTTTTACTTTTTCTTCTTCTTCTATTTTTCTCGCGATTACGCTCATATATAAGAAGCAGATAAATATTAACATAACACTCGATAATATTTCATAAACATATTTATCTCTGTATTTTTTGTTCATTTCGGTCGCATCACGTGAACTGTCTCGTCACATCATTATCGCGCAAGTTGCAATGTAATTTTTAATTCATAGATGGGTGAGGGGAAAACAAAAAAACAGTTACAGGTATAGTCAGCGAGCGATTACCGTGTAATCGCAGGAAACAGCAAGCTCTATATCGATTCTTTGCGGATGTGGTTTTTATCTTGTCATAACATATTTTTCAATGCGTGTCACATGCTTTTGAAGTCATCCTTATCAGAAGGACGTGGATATACCGACCGAAACCGCAATTTTGCGGACAAGTTTAAGATCACGTTTGTGTCTTGCGCGATAATTTTCGACGCGCTATGAATAAACTTCATAATCACAAAGCTTGACGTAACAACACCACATACACACACATTCAGCAATCGTAAGACTCGCCACGCTAAGCGGAGATTGTGGGGCAATTCAGTGTTTTGAACTAAACTTCGTTACACGAACTCGGGTCCGATATAGACAAAAGTGAGTTCTTTAGCAGAGCAATAGAAATTTTCTTTTGACTCAGGGTCAGTTTATGATAAACTTGAGAACTCGTCTCTCGACACAATTAAGCGAAGACAGTGTTAGAAACTTAAAGTGTGCCACCGCTTTATCAAGAAGAGTCGCAGTATTGATTCGCCTTTAATTCGACGAAAATCTCGCTTGAAGGAGAGTTTACGATACATACCAGTTCGACCAATTTTGTTTCAGTCACCAAGTTTGCGAACAAAAAAAAAAGCACGTATATCTTGCGTGAGAGGAGCGGTACAACATCGCGGTTTTTAATATCGACGACGTTTGTGCTCTCAGGTGATTAGATGGTGACCGAGAACCGATCACATTCAAGAAGACTGCCAACAAGACCATCCCACCAATCCGCGCATGTAACTCTCTCTTCTCTTTCTCTCTCTTTTTCTCTCTCTCTCTTTTGGCATACATTAATTCAATTCCAGTGACGAGCCCAATTTCGCAAAAAGCATTTGCCGAACGATCGAAGAAGGATCGAGTGTGCACTTGCTTATGAACGTGTATACACATGTACACCCACGCTTGCCTACCTGTATACACTCAAGCCATTCGATTTCGTGCTGACGTAAAAGTGATCGGTTACTAGTCTTGGCGCAGCAGGACACACACTTTGCTTTTACCATCGAAATAATCTCACATCTCGTCTATTTCGCGATCATTTTCCAAATTAAAGTAACGTCATTACGATTCTTACGCGCACTCGCGAACACGTTTCCGCGTTTTTTTCCGAGTTTTCTCAATAACAATCGCGTCAACATTTGCATTTCCGTGCTCTTAT